CCTACTGTATTGGGCGTCGACACCCGAGTGACTGTTGAACCTGTGTCATCGGTCGCTATGGAACCAACGGCCGACCAATCTCCAGATGCGACCGCATCGGAAAAGAGCGGAGAGGAGCCAACAACTACCTCTAATTCCTCACCTGCAACGCCAGCCAACATGAACAGATCACCGATAATAGGCATGTCCAGAACCACTGAAGATCCGGAGACAAGCCAGCCTCGCATACCCTCCTCAAGCTCGGCTCTGGCCAGTAAGAGCAAATCACTAGCACCAAGTTCCACGACAGTGTCGACGCCGAAGAGAACTACACAGACCCTTGATCATTCGTCGATCTACATCTCCGAGTCGTAGCCTACTTCGTGGAGCATCGTCACCGAGGTGACTGCTGCTGCTGATCCTACGTCCATGGTCGCTCTGTCGCCAGCGCCCGACCAATCTCTGGGTTCGATCGCGTCGGAGACCACCAAAAAGGAGCCAGAAACACCTGACTATTCTGTCTCTACCCCCTTCGTGATGAAGGTACCTTTGAACAACTATTACTAGCTGCTAGCCTGCCTGCCGCGCGATTCATCTTAAACTATGCCCCATCCTTTAGTTAGATTTTTGGCTAATTACATCGCTACCTTTCTCTTTTTAACTATTATTGTTTTATTAACATTTTTTCGAATACTCCATCTATTTTCCCTTGCCAGCCCACATTTCTCATCAGCCACCCCTCCCATGCATCAACTTTTTCGCTCTCCTTCCTTGCGTGGCGCGTTGCGTTGGCCGCCGAAGTCCTCACACGCTACACTCACTCGCTCACTCACTTACAGCCACGCACACACCACAGCCATCCCCCCTCCGTCAATCCCAATCTCCATCAATACTCTCGTGTCGTGTTCCCCGATTTCTCGTTCTTGGGCGGGCATCCTCCTTCCCTTCCCTCCCATCAAGTCCGGCTGCCAAGTCAGATGTATCGACGACCTAAGGACACGCCAGATCCTCTCGCTCTTGTTGCACCGGCACCCTCCCTCCCTCCACTTGGCCCATCCATCCACACATCTACTCTCTTTCTTCTCCCCTCTCACCTCTAGCGACAGATGCGGTGAGCTGGCTTTTCCGACCATCGGCATTGCCACGCGCGTCTGTACGGAGTACTGACTAAGTAAGCGGGCGACTCCAGCGCTTGCCTGCCAACTGCATGCCTAGCAGACCCAAGACAAAGCCAAAACCCAGCGGGAGCCATCCACACGTCACTTAGTTCACATCACACACACCTACCTCACCTGTCAGCCCATCTTGGTAGCGGATCCAGCCTTTATTAGTACCCTTACACCCCTCTCTTCCTCCTCGTCTGACCTGTCGTCTTTGCATAACATATCTTAGCAAGCCTGCCCCAAACAGCGTTGTCCGCTTCATCTTGATCTCCTCCAACCTCGATCTACACCTACACACATACGACTACCAATAACAACCCTTCACCTCTTGATCAACAACCTCATCCTCACCAACATCCTCACAACGACGCCATCAGCCCGCAACCTGCTACAATCGTACAAGCAGCAGTAGCTCCTCACCAGACGACTATGGCAGCTACCTCTATGCTCACCCCAAGCTCTCACTACCACCCACCGTCTTTTACCGCTTCAGCTTACCCTCCCCGGTCGTCGTCCGCAAACTGGCCGACGCCCGCCATGATTTCCTCCGAGTCGCCCCGTTGCGCACTCGAAGATAACAGCAGCCCTCTCGAAGCGCCTGCTCGTCAATCACTGCCTTCCATATCCGAAGTCATGTCGGGTAGCGGCCGCAGACCTCATCCTCGTACGCCTGCTCACGGCAGCTTGCCGCCACAGCCCGGCTCGGGTAGCCTGCCATCGCCCTTCGCTCCCCCTTCACGCCAGTACAACGATTGGCCCAAGCCCCTTCACCCAGCCTCATCCCCTCCGCGGCAGGATGCCATTCCCGCATTTTCCGACTCCTCCAGACCTCCTTTCAGCGGCCGCCCGGGCCTGCCGGCCGTGACGGATCGCAGGCCGACGCCGTCTGGTAGTCCTTCTCACCATGATCACCGCTCCATCTCGGGCGGCTGCCCGCAACCGCTTGCTCTCACCTCACATCCTTACCAACCTGGTCCCATGCCCCACGGCCAGATGCCGCTGCCCGGGTATCCAATCTTCCCACGTCACGAGCTCTACAACGCTCCTCGTCCGCAAACACACGGCGAGCCTGCTTCATACGCACGCAGCAGATATGAAGCCGCCCCAAGACACTATGAGAACTGGCCATATCACGAATCTTTTAGCCGAGTATGTTTGCCTCATTTTTATTGCTGCTGCTGCTGCTGCCGACTAGTATCCTCTAAGCTCATCGTCACTAACCCTCTTACGCAGATCGCATCCAGCTCCCGCACAGTCTTCACCTTTGCCGAGGCTTATATCCGAGCAGCTCAAGAGCACCAGGCTGCTCACGGCTCGATCGACCGCCTCCCCAACCAACGCGAAGTAAACGAGATGCTGGCCAACGTCGACTATATCAAGCGCTCTCTGGAACAGGTTCGCGACATTGTTCAATATACCAAGAGTGCCCGAGAAGGTGCCAAGTACAAGAGTCCCTACGGTGACGGCATGAAGCCACACTATTCTTTTAATGAGGCCAAGAAGCGCTGTGGTGTGAGTTGATTGGTCACGACGCATGGATGGATCACATTACTGATCTTTTCAGCAGCGCGCCGGGCCACCTGGGCGTTGTCACAGTTGCAACAGAACCGATACTCCCGAATGGCGGCGAGGTCCCGATGGCGCTCACACGTTGTGCAATGCCTGCGGTCTTCACTACGCTAAGCTTGAACGCAAGCGCCAGCTAGAGGCTCGGGCAATGCGGCCGAAGACGGAGGAACGCAACTGAGATATCTAGTTGGGACCATAGTGGCGTCAGATATCATTGATTGACATTTGACTTTCCCTATGATATCTCTGGTCGGCAGGAAAGGGCCCGAATTGGGTAAAAGTGCGGGCTCCTACGAATGGCCTTGAGAAGGAGTTTTTTTTTGGGAGTACCATGAGGCATGCCTCGACCCCCGAGCCTTATTCAAGTGTCCAAATCGACTCAATGTCATGGAGTCGCAGTATGGACTGACTGAGTTGACGTGTTAATAACCAAAATACCTCCGACAAAATCAAAAATTCTTTGGCTAATGAATATAATGAAGAGCAGCGCACAAGATACACATATGTTTCTACCACGATACCTTGGAGGGCTTGGGCAAAGGCAGACGGACATCTTGGCATTAACTAACGGCGTTTTGGTTGTTTTCCGTTGTCGGCGTTATCTCTTCTGATGACTCGTCAGTCTGGGAACCTTTTTCTTTTCAAATTTTCATGTCTATATATGCTTCTCTCTTTTCCTTTTACTTAAGCGACTAGTTCATTGACATGATTTGGAGCGTTTCGAGCAAGCAAATCAAATGTTAAACTTTTGATACTAGGGTTAATACTCTTGATACAGCAGTCTAGACCTATGCCGCCCACGTAACTGGATGCACCAATAAGGAGAACTTTTGATTGTGTGGAAACGTACTCAAGGTAAATGAAATTCGTGGATAAGTTTGTCATTTAGAAAACTTTGCTTCCGGTGGCTGTACAAATTGAGACATAGAAGGCTTCAGTAGCATAAATACTTCTGCTGGCTATGATGTTTACCTCCCGAAGAAACCTCGACTAGATCAATGGCCTGACGTAGAAATTGTAGAAATGATATTTCGGCATGAAGTGATAGGGTTAATTGATGTCCCAGGTGGACGACGCCTTTAGTAGTAAATGAAGCGACTAGAGCGATGTTAAAAATGCAGAACTAGCTATATAAGCGTTGCAAATGTCGTCAAATCACCGTCTTCAGCCCCCAGCCAACCTTGGAAACGCGACTCGCCACCAAGCAAAAGCCGGACGCAAAAAGGAGCGCGCCGCACCACGAAATCAGTCCCACCCAGTCTTTGCCAGGGTAGACGATGGCACCCGCGATCGGGTTGCTGATCAGCACGCCGAACCCGACTGTGCCGAGGGTCATGCCTATGCGGATGCCGATCTTGCTCTTGTCATCGGAGAGGCGAACGATGCCCGCGGCGGGAAGGCCCATGAAGGCACCCGAGAAGAAGCCGTAGATGGCGCAAAACACGACGAGGCCGGCGGCGGAGCGGATAGCACACAGGAAAATTGTCAACATGGCGGAGAGTAGGGCGACGGCGGTCTGCACGTTGATGGACCCGACCTTGTCGGCGTAGTAGCCCGGGATGATGCGGCCCGGGAGCGAGCTGAGGTTGATGATGACGAGCAGGTAGCGGGCCAGGGAGTCGGACACGTGGGCGCGATCTCGGGCGAGCAGCTCAATGTAATAGAAGACGATGTAGAGGCCCATGAAGCCGAAGGTGAGGCCAGCGTTGAGGAGCAGGTAGGGGACGTCGCGCAGAGCGGTGGCGTCGAAGAGCTTGCGGTCGCGCTGTGGGGGTTCCTTGGAGCGCATGAGGAGCCCGGGGATGGCGGAGGTAACGAGGAGAATGAAGCCGAGGATGCGGCAGGCCCAGCCAAAGTCGAGCCGTTCAACCAGGCGGGAGAAAGCGATGGGAAAGACGGCGCCGCCTACGAGTCAGGTTAGTTTTCTCGATTCCGAAAATACATTCAAAGCAGTATCTCCCCCAACAACACAAATCCAAAAGGCGTGGTGTAGAATTGACTGGGCTTTTGCTTCTCGCAAGCAGAACTTACCAATTGCACTACCAGCCGACGACGCGCCCATGGCTAGGGCGGTTCTGCGCCCAAAGTACTGGGAAACGATGGCGGGGGCGACCAGGTAAAGGAGGCCAAAGCCCAGCCCGACCATGATGGCTTGGGAGAGAAAGACGTGCCAGTAGAGTGAGGCAACACTGAGTAGCATCACGCCAGCGACGACCATTATGCCGCCGCCCCAGAGCAGCGTGTGCGCAAAGCCGGCATCAAAAAGCGCGCCGACAGCCACGGACACGACGAAGAGGAGAAAGGCCTGCGTGGAGCCGATCCACGCGATGTTAGAGGCGGAGTGGCCGTGGAGGAGATGGAGCTGATAGTATGTCTGGAACACGCCGTACGAGTTCATCATGCCCCTGTTTGAATGGAGTTGAGCTCGTGAGGGCGAAAGCTGGGGGTCGACGGGCAGGGAGGAAATTACCAGGTATTCAGGTTGATGCAAAAGGCGCCGAGAACCTGCATCCAGGCGCGCCAGTCTTCTTGAGGCGGCTGCGATGGCGATGATGAGGCGGCACTTGGCCCAAGGGCGGTTGCGTCGTCGGGGACCAGCGAGGAGGAGCCGGTCACCATGTCGCTGGCCGGCCGCTTTGTGGAGGTTTCTGAAGCCATAACTGCGATTGGGATGGCTTCCAACAAGTCGCGCGATGTGAGCTGAGCAATGACCAATCCTGGAGGCGCGAGGATGGAAAGTGCTTAAAAAGTCATGCGGAGATGGCAACGAGTTTGTGCCTTTTTTGGGTTTACACACGACCGCGACGGGTGGCCCTCGCTGCGGCCAAGTCTCCTTTGGGTTTAACTCGAGACAATACCCACCCTACAAGATCACAGACTCTGTCTAATGACTTGGTATTATAATAATATTCATGAACTGTATGTATTAGTATTTCACTTTGCACATCAGGGATCTCCTTAGAAAGGGAGGGCGGGGAGCGCTCTTCCTGCCGCCGAGGCAGCCAACTGGTTAGAGCTTGGCCATATATCTGCTGGTAACGTCTCGACTTGGCATTGCAGCTGCGTATTAATACATTGTCACATTTACAAAAATAAAATGAAACGAAATAAAATAGCCTGCAGCACCCACACCACCACCAGGCCCTGCGATCCAGCGTTGGCCGTTATCGAGCCCCCACTACAATGTATGGCAACGCGCTGTCTTGAATTATGGATCAGCCTTGCGGGGGCGTGTGGCGCAGGTTTCGACCCTTGGTGCCGTTGCTTGCTTGATTGGTTGGTTGTCGTGTTTCTTCCTGCAATCTTCTTTCCTTTTTCATTCTTGACAATCATCTGCCAAACACTTTTCCTCTCATGAAACCTGTTCTAGTGGCTCCTTCACTTCACATCTCTTCTCTTCTTGTTTTCTTCTTTTTTTTGGTTCGGGTTTATTATACGTCCAGTATGTATTCTCTTTTGTTCGACATACTCCGGTTAGAGCGGCTTTTGATATTACGCCTTGTATGATGATGGATGAGCGGAACTTGACGAAGGCATCAACGTTCCGAAAAGAGACGAATGAACGCAGAGAATGTGGTTCTAGCAGTAAGCACACGCCCACTGGTCAAGGGCGGAAGCACAGTAGGTACTGGTACCTAACTAGCAACCATTGATTCTGCTGTTGTTGAAAAGCTTGACGATCCCGCGCTAGATACCCCTGCAAATGCTGCTGCCTGCCAGGCAGCAGTGTTACAACGATTTTGCCACCCCGGCAGAACGCTTGCGGTCGAGCCAACAGAGGCAACGTTATCCGACAGGAAGAGGACCACGCTTAATTCATCAGCCGAAGGACGTGCTGCCGAGTTGGACTGCAAAATGCAACGGAAATTTTTCTGTGGATGACACAGTGCCTTGTCCGGCGGACACATCCCCGTGGCATCGGCTGCGATTCTGCCACGTCGGAACTCTGCCCCACGCAACGAATCGTGACAATTCAAATACATGCAGGAAGAATCGAACGAAGCAGAGGTGCGCTAGATAGGTTCCGCAGTCTGGCTTCGCGCGACGAATGTTGTACATCATGTCCTCGCGGTACTTTCCCAAGGCACCGCTGATCATTCGTCTGAAAGCATGCAGGCAGTAGCTTGTCATCGATTCTTTGTGGTTCTCTTTTACGAAAGAGATTCTAAGTTTGACATATATGTGGTTGACCGTGCCGACTTCTTCTTGATATGCGACAATCGGCGTGAAACACATATTGGCTACGTGTATAATAACACTTCTATGACAGAGAAACTGCAAAACATCAGTTACCACCCTGATTTACTCTCTTGTGCCCAGCAAGCCGAGGAGGGGTTATCTGACCTCTTCAGTGACGCGTGTCTCGAATGAGCGCCTGAGATTGAGCTCAAAGTGGGTGATTGCCAGGACCGACCGGTCCCCGGTAAGATCCTCTATGATGCAACATTCATGTTCTCCTGCGCAGACAAACTATCGGCATTATAGGCACTGTCCTGCTCACAGGTTTCTCTCGGAGTTTTCGAAACTCATTAGGTCAAATGCAGGTGTGATAAGGATCATCATGCTGCTGAGAATAGCCTGTGGCATCGGACAGCTGCCTGCTGAGCGGGCCTGGGATTGTAAAGTTCATCTCACTACCAAGTTTAAAATGACGAGGAGACGTACCGGCACTGACTGGCGCCGAGGAGTGCAGGGCATGATGGGTACGGTAGATCGCTACTGTAAATATCTTGTCCGCTGCAAGTGGTGAGACTCGCACCAAAGGTCTAAAGTTACACGCTAGAATTGGCAAGTTGGATATAGCGGGAGTGGCGCATGGTCGTGCTGCCAGTAGTGACAGAAACAGCTTTCCCGCAAATAGACGAGCCAGAAGGGAGAGAGACAAGACAGAATAATTCTCGAAACATCGGACCGTAGGACTGTACCAGCACTGTATCCTGCTAGTTCAGTTTCTGCGCACACTAATTTAGAATAAAAAGCCTCAGGTAAGGTTATGTGGGCCGCTAGACTAGATTGTTTTCCCACATAAAGTTGTGGAGTCACTTACTCCTAGAATAGACTTTGTTGTGCATCGCACATCAAAAGAAAAAAGAAAAAGAGAGAGAGAAAATTGGTTGTGGCGATAGGCTGAGGCTGCCAGTGGTGGCGTAGAGATCGGACTCCCCGCTCGAGAATCTGTTCATCCCAAAGTCTTGTGTCACCATCATCACCTCCTCATCGGGCGTTTGGTATGCCTAGGCCCCGGAGAATTTGCTGCTCTCCAAGAGCGTTCGCGTAAATACTGATGTCCATGTTTTCAAAAGTGGTTGAAGTGAACCGTCGATTCCCCCTAATGGCAAGCGCAACGCTCATCGATTACCTTGCACGACCTGCTGCATTCGGCACAAGACACGCAGATCAGTTTTCTTCTTCTTACCTCCATCGGACGTGACTTCCGGGGGCCGACAGGGGCCAATCGTCTTATCGCGATTGGATCACGAGCCCGCAAAAGAGGACGCCAATCTGGGCAGTTCTCCTCTGACGCGTGAGAGTGTATCGGTCATGTTAATGCAAGCCTTGTGTATGACTTAGCGTGAATACATGTACTGTACCAGTACCTAGACAACATTCGCCTTAGTGCAGTGTCGTCAAGGTTGTCTCCGCAGCGTTACATTGCAGCCTTCCATGCATGCTACAGAACATGCAAGTAGGAAAGTGGGGGCGAATATCGAGAAGCTGCGGCCAATGATTCTAGAACATCTGCAAAAGTTCTATCAGGCTCAAAGCTGGGTCGTTACGACTCGCCCGAGCGGGGTACGGGACAATTTGTGGGCCATGCACCTCTTCGGTGATTCGTGCCTATGGCCAATGCCATCTGATCTCGAAGGTGTATTGAAAGGGGGAGCTCCACTTCGCTCTGACCTGCGGGGTAAAGCCTGCAAGGGTGTTAAAGCGAAAGCCGAGACAAAAATTGGGTACTTTATGCGATTGTTCATGCTCTTTTCAGTTTTGCTCGCTCCGCTTCTTTTAAATGGTAAGTGCAATGACCTGGATGCCAACAACAGGATAGTTTTGGGATGGGTATACATGCAATCCGCCTAAGTGTACTTATCAACGCCACAACTATTGTCATCAAATTTTATCGAAAGGATGATTGGCGCTTTTGATTTTTGATTTGATTTGATTATTTACGTCTGTTGGCGCCCTAGAGTAGGCTTTTAGACGTGCTATCGAGCCTTCTACGGATAAACGTGCAGGCGTACCCGCTTAGTAGGCCCCCACAGGGCGGCGCGCGCCCATGTTCTCACTGGTTGCCCCTGGAATACTCTCCCTGCCATCATCCTCCAACTGTAGCAGTGTCGCGCCCAATGGCATGTATCTGTCTGAATCGATACCCGTCAGCGGGATCACGATGATGCTAGCGTTATGCGCCCGCGGCGGTCACCGCGTGCGCATTACGCCAACAACTTCTGTCTCCTGGTCTTTCTACGGGGACCAGCGGGAGCCCTGCTGTCGGTGGCGTATATCGCCCAAAACAAAGGAAATGGAGGAAATGTTTAACGAGTAGCGTCAACTACTCGGGCTGAATACTGTACAGAGCGCGCCAGGCTTGTACCCTACGTGGTGCTATGTGCGCTTGTTGATCTTCGAATAGTAGAAGTCAGCGATGCGTACGTACACCTTGTAGGATCTACCGAGAAATTTCCCTATTGCCGTCTCTGGATCGGGGTCCAGCCGAACCCGGAGATGGCCAGGGATCTTTCTGCAGTAGAAAAGATGGGTGGGCGATTTCTGGCGCCCGCAAGGGCACTCCAGCGTCGCCTGTCCAGGATGGAATCTCTCGTGGTATTCCGCAAAGTCGCCGTGTTGTGATCGTGTTGTCAAGAGATAGCCGAGCAGGCGGCGGGGAAGGCTGAGTTCCGGGAGTTGCTTCAGCTCGGCTCCCAGGCCGAGCTTCAGATACTCTGTTCTCTCAATCGACGCCCACCAGGCTCGGTGATCGATCTTTATTTGCATCTTCATCTGTCTTTTCCTGTACGAGACAGATGGCAGATGCTCGTTCGTGGGGAGCGTGGCACCATGCTTCGCGAGTTGGTCGGCCAGCTCATTACCGAAGATGCCAGTGTGGCCAGGGGACCATTTGACTGAGATTAGATACGGGTGCTTGTCCCCAATCCTTTGGAATTCTCGGAAACAGGCCTGCGAAGAGTCTGCCGCTGTTGTTCCAATGCAGTCGATCACGGACGTGTTGTCCATGCAGACTGTGATCGGCTCACAGAGGCTGTTCCGCTGCATAGCCGCTTTGAGTCCTGCGAGCGCGCCGTGTATCTCGGCGTCGAATACTTCTCGTCGTCCTAGCTGTCCGGAACCCCAGTCCAGAAGTTGTCTATGATGGAAAACGGCGAAGCCGCGCCAGGGGACCATTTGACTGAGATTAGATACGGGTGCTTGTCCCCAATCCTTTGGAATTCTCGGAAACAGGCCTGCGAAGAGTCTGCCGCTGTTGTTCCAATGCAGTCGATCACGGACGTGTTGTCCATGCAGACTGTGATCGGCTCACAGAGGCTGTTCCGCTGCATAGCCGCTTTGAGTCCTGCGAGCGCGCCGTGTATCTCGGCGTCGAATACTTCTCGTCGTCCTAGCTGTCCGGAACCCCAGTCCAGAAGTTGTCTATGATGGAAAACGGCGAAGCCGCATCCTGCCGTATCAGCATTCGTTTTGGAGCCGTCGCTGAAGACTACGTAGCCTGCGGGTCGGCTGGCAAGCCAATGTTCGAACTCTGCTACAGCGTTCTCTTTGGTCTGCCTCTCTGTGGCCCCTTCTACTTGTATATTGCCGGAAAACCTCTGCGGGATGAGTCTCGGTCTTTCGATTTTGGCGGTGCGATATGCAGTCCGAAGGAGCCTCGAGTGCCGGAGGGCCATTCGTTCCGCGATGAGTGGTTTCTCATTGAGTTCGATTTCTCTTTGTGATTGTCGCAACCTTTTGCTGATCGGATGTGCTTTATCTAGTGTCGCGTATCGGACCGCCACCCGTTCTTGGATGTGTCGAAGTAGGACGCTCGCTGGCGGGATGCCCGCTTCCTTCCAAAGAAACTCTAATGGTGTTGTCTTCCACATGGGTAGAACCATTCTACACGCGAGATTAAGCACGCGTTGAATCTTGGCCAGGTTCGTCTTTGAGATGTGGTTTCTTTTTAGGCGTGAGTTGCCTGTGTCCAAGCCAGGTAGCCAGGCATCTAGTCCATGGAATAGGATTGGCATAGCCACAGCCCACACTGCTCGACGGGCCGCTGTTGCTGCCATGCCTCGCACGGTATTATTCATGACCCGGAGGTGATTGATTACCTTACGGGCCTTTTGTGTCCACTCATTGATATGGTGGTTAAAGGTGAGTTTCTTGTCGAGCCAGATGCCGAGCCACCGCATGGATGTCGATGCCCGTATCTCCTTGTCGCCGTGGTAAATGACGGGAGATTGGCTGTGGTCTGCCGTGCGTCTGGAGAAGTGCATGATTTCTGTCTTGTTCGGGTCAAAGTGGATTGCCTCGCCTCTTCCCCACGACTCCATGGCCGCGATTGCTTCGTTTGCTTGCCTTGCTGTGTCCTCCAGCGAGTCTCCTATAAAGAGCATCGCCGTGTCGTCAGCGTATCCGTATCTCTGGGCCGCGCCGGAGAGGAAATAGATTGCCGCTGTGATCAAGATATAAAGTATTGGCGAGATGGGCGAGCCTTGTGGGAGGCCACATCGCAGTCTCGCGCTCGGTGTGGTTGTGTCTTGGAAGCGCACACTGGCTAGTCTGTCTAGCAAGAAGCTGGCTATCCATCGGACCAAGAAACCCGGCCACCCCTGCTGCCGTAGGCGAAGGATCATGCGGTTGCGGAGGATTGCGTCGAAAGCTCCCATGACATCTTCTGTGACGAGAGTTGCCACCTTGCCAGCTGCAAGTGCTTTCTCTATGTCGTAGATGAGGGACACCACAATGTCTACGGCAGACCGCTTCGGCAGCGCTCCAGCCTGGTTGGGATGGAGGATACCGTATTTGATAGCAGCGTAAGCCATTCTTCTTGCGATGACCCGCTCTAATCCTTTACTGAGGCAGGACAGGAGTGATATGGGACGCCATGTGGACACATCGCTGAGGTTTCGCTTGTTGGGCTTCGGGATGATGACGACTTCGGCAGTCTTGAAGACGCTGGGGTGATGACCGAGTTGTAGGCAGGCATTGTACAGTGTCGTGAGTGGTCGGGCAATGTGCGGCCAGGCTGCTCGCAGCATCTTGGTCGTGATACCGTCTGAACCGGGGGTTGTGTTTCCGGTGTGTAGGACAGCTTTCTCGATCTCCTTGGTCGAGATTGTTTTTGCGAAGGGGATCTCCTTGGCAGGGCTGACAGTTGGCTCCCATGCGTCGGGGATGTCATCTGCTGCGTCGCGACGTTCCAGCTTCTCCTTGCGTAGC